AAATAAATAAATGTATCTCCTCTGCTAAGTAGTAGGTGTTATGAAAATGTAAACATTGGAGATATTTTTAAGAATCAAAGATTTTAAAAAGTCAAGGGTCAAAATTTGAAAAGCCCTCAAGAGGTTCCTTGTCTCATGGGAAGATGGACTTGCTAACTAGTGTTAACAGCTAACTCTACGCATCCTAACATAGGCTTGTGTTGGGTGCAGTATGATTCTGGAGCTTAGTTTTGCCTGAGGAGCCCTGAAGGCCCCACAGGGGTGATTTGCTCATAAGGAAGTGATATGCATATAATTTTGATGAGAAGGAGAGGATCTGGGAAGGCTAAAGTCCACAGCTCTGTAGGATAGGAAGCTGTGCTTAAGCATTAACTACTAAAAGTCAGATTACAACTCAAGAAACAAAATGTACAAAAGTAAGTCCACCGTGCAAGATCGCGCTGTTCATAGACACAGAATGGTGCTTATGTGAATAAAACTGCTCAAGGTGAAAGGCCCTTTGGGGACTTCTTAGGGCTCTGACTAGTGACTGACAAAGACAACAGTACAAGTATTTTGCATTTGTAATGTCTGACCTGGAATAGAAGTCCACTCAACCTCCTTTTGAGACTTCATTTAAAAAACTGAAAATAATGTCACTTGATTGTGATTTTGTAAATTCTAAGTTGTAAGGGTTTTCAGTCTTTGGATGTAAGGCGACCGTGGGAGACCTTGTCTCAAGAAGAATTAGGAGGGGGTCAGGTGTAGCTCAGTGGTAGAACACTTGCCTAGCATGCATGGAACTGAGAGTTCAATCCTCAGGACTGAAAAGAGAAAAAGAGTGGGAGAGAGGGAGGCCGGGGAGAGAAAGAACCAACTCTCTCGTAAAATGCAGAGGGGAAACTAGGCATGGTGGCACACAACTTGCAGTCCCAGCACTGGGGAGCCTGAGGCAGGAGGATCAAAGACTTTGAGGCCATCCTCGCTACATAGTAATTTCAAAGGTAGCCTGAGCTACATAGTGAGACCCTGCCTCAAAAAAAAAAAAGCAGCGGGGAGATTGCTGACATTAGCGCACCTGGCTGGATGGCTGTCATAAGCGCACCTGACTAGCTGCACATGACTGAAAACGACCGAAAGGGCTGTAAATGTTACTACAGCAGGAATACCGTTAAAAGCCCAAGGTGTTGCGATAAAACAACCACACCTCTTCTCCAGCTGCTGATGGTGGGATTGCTTTGAGAAGAGTGAAACCCAGGTGTCTGTGAGTCAGCAGAGTTGTTTTGTCTGTTGTAGCAGGGACTAATCTGAACAAAAAGGGAGCTGTTGGCCAAGCCTGGACCCACCCAGCTGGAGCCCCTGTAGCTTAAACCCCTGGCTTTCATTGTGCTGGCAGTTTCTACAGAATTCTGTCTATTCATGGTGGACAGCCCTAGCTATCAAAGGCACACAGGGTATTGTGGAAGATGGGTTTCACTTACTTACTAAATGTGATCTGAACGTATTTACTGGGAACAACTCAGTAATCAGAGAAATGAGTAATAGAGAAATTCACTTAGGGGGCGGTCACATTCTCTGCATTAGAAGCATCTTCTGCCTTTCACACCATTCACTGTAAAAACTACCCAGAAAACCCACATTGAGTGACGTCCTATTGCACAAACTTCTTCTGTTAGTTTGCAGATTGCTTGGGACTCGTTCTTTTTGTTTGTATTACTGTTGCAGTGTGTGATCTATTAGGGAAATATTCCCTGGAAATTCATCCTCGAAACAGTGGGATTCACCCAACCCCTCACCCCTAGTTACTTCATTGGTGGCAAAAAATAACAATTGTCCCTTGGGAAAGGAAGCTCATCACTATGGTAACTAATGAAGGTTGCATCATTCTAGGGCACATTTTAAAAAGCCTGGATTTCTCCATGGATAGACGCTCCATCTTATTTTATTCAGTAGCTTAGCAACCTGTGGTATAGTGTTTGTCGCCACCCCCAACCTTCTCTTTTCTCCCAAGAAAGTGACCTATATAAATAGTATTTTATTGTAGGCACATTTTCACAATGAATTTGGTTCAGTTCTTAAATATGTTTTTGATAACGACCTTATTTTCTGTACCAAAAACCAGGACACATTCTTTGTCTGGAGGACTGCCATTCTGTCTCTTTGTCCCCCTCTGTGGTTTCTCTACATCCTTGGCTATTGATGCTATTCAAGGGTTTGCTGCTGGCCTGCTTTTTCTCTGGTTCGCCGATATCTACTACTTAAGTGGTATGATTCCCAAATCTTAATTTTCAACTCAGGTCTCGCTGCTGAACTCCAAGTAGGTTGTTCATTCTGTAACAGCCCTGCATAGGCTGTCCCCACATTCAGCATATTAAAGACGAACTCAGTGTGCCTTTCAGAAAAATCACTTATTGGTGAATTGTACCACCTTGTACATAGCACCCCACAGCCAATCAGTGTCCAAGTCCCATGTTTAACTTTTTGAATGCCCTAAAATTTGCTTTTTAGGCCCTCATCTTTTTTTTTCTTTCTTTTTCTGAGATTGAACCCAGAGCTTCCTGCATGTTGGCAAGTGCTCTGCCACTGAACCACACCTTCAGTGCCCTTGTCTTCTGGCCTGGTTTACAGGCTACACCCTCCAAACCCTCTGAAGTACTCTTCACAGTAACCGGGACTCTCCTGGTTCCCCACGAACAAATAGATAAACAAATATGATTCTGTGATTGGCTCCTTAATAGCAGTGGCTCCCATTGCCTTCAAAGCAAATTCCAAACTCTTCTGCGCGGCCCTGAAGGCCCTCAGTGGCCTTCACCTGCTCCTTTGACCGGGTCTGTTCTCACGGTGCCTGCTCGTTCTTTCTTCTCTTCTGGTGCTCCATAGCAAGAACATGCTCCCATCCCTGGTCCTCCTGTATTTCCAGTCCTTCTTTTCTAAAAAGCTTTTTCTGGTACTGGCTAACTCCAGACTCTATATTTTGCCCATTACCACCTAACTCCATCCAGCCCTGTTGGGTTTCTAAGAACCTGGGGCTTTGTGTGTTGGGTGAATGGACACTCACCCTGCATTTCAGCAGGCATGCGTGGATCTTCCCCAATACACTGACCTCTACTGGCTTAAATATGTGTCTGTCTGCCTGTCTCCCTCTCTCTCTCTTTTTAATTTTTTGAGACAGAGCTTACTATGTAGTCCAGCCTGGTCTTGAACTCAACTATGTAGCCCAGGCTGGCCGTGAATTCGTGGCAGTCTTCCTGCCTCAGCTTCACAAGTGCTGGGATTACAGGCGTGAGCCACCATGAGCCACCATGCTCAGTTTAAACATGTCTGATCATCACAATTCTTTTCTTCTTGCTGTTCTTCCTGCCCTCATCAGACCCAGGGCCTTGAATGTACTAAGCACAAGTTGAGTTACACCTTTAACCATAGTTGTTTTGTGAAAAATTTTTCCAAAGAAGTGAGTTTCCCTTATTATTAAAAGCTTTCTGTGTTTTTCCTTTTAAATGTAATTTTCAAAAAATTTCAAACTTCTGAGTGTTGTATTATAAAATTTACATTTGTGTAGAGCACTCTTAGCCATCTGAGTTGTACTTTTTATCTCTGGGATGCACTTTTTTTTTTATAAATTGCTGTTGTATCACAGGAGGTAATAGTAACAGATTTTTTATGTAATTTTAGTTTTAGATGTAAACATTTATCAATTGCCCTTAATACAAGTTGGTTTGGAAGGTTTGTATTCAGTGAGGATGACATGTGTACATTCAGGTGTTTTGGGAACCATTATTTCTTTAGAAATGTTTGTTGCTATTAGAGATACCACTGGGGGCTGGGGATTTAGCTCAGCCGCACAGTGCCTGCCTGGCAATTGCAAGGTCGTGTGTTCGATTCCCGGTACTGGAAAAAAAAAAAAAATAGAGATATCACTGGATTTTGTTTGCTGATCTTGTACCTTGCAACTTTGCTTAATTTATTTCTTAGTTTTAGTAGGGCATTTTTGGGTATGCATATGTGGATTCTGTAGGATTTTCCATATGTAGAATTATGTCATCTACAAACAGAGGTAGTTGTACTTCTTCCTTTCCAACTTGGCTGCTGATTATTTCTTTTATTTGCCTGATTACCCCAGACTCGGGTTTCTGAAAGTGTTGGATAACAAGTGGTGAAAGTGGGCATTCTCATTTCTAAGTTTTTGGGGCATTGTTTTCATTCTTTACCCACGAATACCACTTCACAACTTGGGGTTGTGCAGAGAAAGTGTCCCTTAGCCTGCCTGATGTGCTTGCCTTGCAGGTATATGCTGAAGATGGCACGGGCAGTGTAACTCATGGTTGGTGCTTCTGGTTGGTTAGAACCTGCTGGTGCTCTCCAGCTAGTTCACAGTCTTTGGCTCCTGTTCTGAGTTCTCACGGGTGCCTTATCTCTCTTCGGCCTGCTGGCCTGCCACTTCATCCAGCCTTTGCTTCAGGATCACCTGCTCCACAGGGGCTCCCTGGCCAGCCCACTAGCTCAGAAGATCTGACTGTCAGAGCTTGATCATGCTACTAGGAAAAACTGTCCCTTAGGATATGTCTGGCTTATATGATTATGGTCTTACTGTGAATTCTGTTAGTGTCAGATGTTGCATATTAGTTCATTTGATCCCTGCACTTTATTAATAAAACATAGAGATTCTTCAGGAAACTACTAGGGATAAGGGCAATGGTCGGACACTTGGAAAGGCAAAGCAATAATGAAAGTAATTTTCTATATACTATTACAATTAGATGTGTGTGTGTATATATATACACACATACATATATGAGGAAGATATTTAAAGAGTCATGCAATTCTAAGTACAAAAGCTTTAAATTTAAGGACTAGAATTTTTAGAGAGGTATATGTGGAAGGTATATATGACAAAGCTACATAACTATTATATGTAGTTGATATAATACATATACAGTGTTAAGAGATTTGCTTTACATAACCCACCATTCTTCCATGACTAAAATACTGTGATTTCACGCACGTATTCTCTTCTCTTGTAGGACAGTTCGTGTTTGGTTAAAGAGAGACAGCGGACAATATTGGCCAAGCATATACCATGCAATGCCTTGTAAGTATTTGGGTCTCTGTCCTGCAAACCAGACCTCACTGCAACTCCTCTTCCTTCCCAGATTGTCTTCTCTGTATTTTCTCCTTTACTAGGAAAGTGTAAAGGTCGAGAATCTTATTATAATGACAAATGCCATTTTAAATCATTTTAGATTCTCTAAGGCTCCATGTAAAATAAAACAAACGTTCTGAAATTGACTATATATTCATAGTTTCTGAATAAAATTAATGAGAGAAGGACTATAGCACATAGGCTATCTGATTGCAGCAGTTCGCTTGTTGCTAACTTTTTGTTCAACTATTTTGGAAAGTAAGATGCCTTCAGACAATTCAAAATTTTGTCCATTGAATTTATTTGTAAAGTAAATATGTCTGTGCATTGTTGTTATGCATTTGTTGAAATTAAGACATTCAGCGCTGAACATTTGGTTTTCAAAAGGATTTGCTTAGGATTAAAACATTCTGATTAGAAGTGGATCTCATTTCCCCAAGATCTTATCAGAGAAATATATCCTTGCGCTCAGCAGTGTTTCTTAGACTGCGCCACTGGCGGAAGTTCCTTTACAGATGAATAACTGAGCCCTCAAATTAGGAAATTTCTTCTTATCTAGTGTTTTAGGTCCTATTGCATGTTTATTTTAGTGTAAAATTGTTTAAATTCATTATCAGTCACATTAAACATTTCTCTCCTTTCAAATCTTAATTAAAATTGGCACTCTAGAAAAATCGTCTAGGTCTGTCATTTGGGCGCATTCCCTCTGGCTTGCTGTGTGTGTTCACCTCATCCCTTGGTACAAATATCCCAGTATCAGAAGTACATGCCACTATATACAGCCCAAATAAATTAATGCTGAATTATAGATGTGATTAAGTTTGTGCCTCTGGCAAAAGAATACTATAATAATAATTTTGCCTGTTGATGAACAAATAAATTATTAAGGATGCAGTGGTTTTCAGTGATTTTCAAATTATGTTTGGGGCTTTGCATGGCTTTAGAATTTTGTAGTAAATAGGTGACAACCACACAGTTGAGGCAAGTATTCAGTCCATTTCCTGTAAAGAAAAAACTTCTCAGAATTTTGACTGCTATATTTTCCCTTTACCATTGTGCTTCCAGTAGACACGTTATAGGATTTAGGCCCAACATTCCAAAAGAAGATGAACTTGTTAACCATAGCAGTGATAATAGTGTAGGAAAACAGGAAAAGGAAAGAATTCTCTGATTCTTCCCCCTCATTTTTAAGTGAAATTTACTGGTTTCCTGGTTGTTACTTTGATTTGCTTCTTCATCAAACTTTCATTGTTTTTGTTCTGTTTTTTGGTACCAGGGATTGAACTCAGGGCCTCGTGTTTGCCAGGCAGGCACTGTGCCGCTGAGCTACATCCCTGGCCCTCTTCCTCAAGCTTGAGACAATATCTAGTATGACAGAACAGGCAGGGCTGTGACCCAGCAAAGTGAAGTTGGCCCCAGAGCCCTGTAGTTCCCAGAGAGAGAAGCAGCCACAGGAAACAATGGGGACGGAGGGTTTGAGGTAAGGAGCCTTCTTTTTATGAGCACAAATAGTAGCTCATGAAGGCATAGGACCCCCAACAACTGCTTACCCATCTCCTTCCCTAGACATGCACACATGTGCATTTGATGTCACTCTAATGCCCTCTTTATTTGTCTATCTCTAAGAGTACAGAGAAGCCTCGGGTTGCATTTTCATTATCAATTAGCCTGTCCTAAGAATGACTAAAAGTTACTGTCACTGCTACATCTGGTATAGATACTCAATAAACATTTGTAGAGGGGTTGAGTTAATAAATATAATTTCCCCCCGGGAAGATTCATACGTTTTCCTAATGCTCAATCATGAGGTTTGAGAAAAAGGATCCTCTAAATTATTTGTGTATTTGCCTGTGACATTGCACTAAAGGGAGTTTAAGAAGGGCTATTTTACTCTTCAGAGTGTTGTCTACGGCCCACCATTTTCAGCATCACCTAAGAAATTATTAGAGCAGCATTCCCCGGGGCCGCTGAATCAGAATCTGCATATCAGTAAAACCCCTAGGTGATTTGAATACAAATTAAAGTTTGAGATTTGCCTTGTAACGTTATAGCCAACATGCTGTTGAGCTATATGTACATGTTTGAATGAACAGAGGTAAAGTCTCATGCTTGTGTAGTATTGATTTGTAAACAGGTATAAGATTACATGTCAGTGAAGCAAACTTTTGCCGGCACACCTACTGTGCACATGCCGCTGATGAGGGTGCCAGAGGTCTGCAGGTGAACGGGGTACATATATGGTCAAAATGACATCTACAAATTTTCACTGTTGAATGCTTCCACTGATGGTGCACAGGTAAAAGGAAAATAAAAGACTGTGTTCTTCACAGTTGCTCAGAAATTAGTGATTATGTTCCTAGGGATCATGTGTATTGATACAACATAGTAACTAACCTCTGAGCAAGACCCTAAGCTTTGTTTAACCTGAGAGAGGTGTAATCTTATTGTAGAAGGAAGTAACATACCCTTTGATCAGTTAGAGAACCTGAAATAGATTTGAGTTTCCAGGGGATTGTTTTGCGGTGTTTCGTTGAAAAAATTTCATTAAGAGATTAGTCACCATTATTCTTATATAACAGTTACGTGTATTATAAAACAAATAAAAAAAGGAAAGTGCGTAAATCCAGAGGCTATAAAATGAATGCAAAAGGCAGATATAACTATATTGCATGTTTACATGTAAATAATGAGTAATATTCCAAATATAAAAGAAAATATTCTAAGCATTTAAAGTATGGCTTATTTATTTTGTCCACTAAAATACCCTTCCCTGCTTTAAGATACTGGGGGTTGAACCCAGGACCTTTGCACTGAGCTACGTCTTCAGCCCTTCAGCCCTTTGAGGCAGGGTCTCACCAACCTGCTAAATTGCCGGAGCTGGGCTTGAATTTGTGATCTTCCTGCCTCGGCCTCCCAGAGTAGTATACTGGGATTATGGATGTATGCTAACACGTGTGGGTTACGATACCTTTTACATACAGTGTTTGTCATGTTCTCAGCAGCGGAGCAGGTGTTTGGTAACTCTGGGGAGAGAGCTGGTGGCGTTCTGTAAGAGTTAGTGAAGGCGGAGTTTACAAGAGTCAGCCTGAAAAGCAGGGTGTGAAGAGGCTGAGTAACTCTGGGGAGGGGCAAGCAAGAGAAAGCAGGCACTTGAGGATAAACGCTAGCCCTTGAGAAAGCCTTACCCCTTGTCTTTTCTGAGCAACTCCTCCTCCCCTGGAGCAAGGAAGCCAGGAAAAGCTAGGTTTGCCTGCTTAAGGCCGTTTGCCATTGGGCCAATATGATTTTCACAGGAATTTCGTATTTGGACCGCAAGATGCTCTTTTCAGCCGAGGCTATTACCCTTGAACCAGTAATATATAAACCCCAGTCGTGAGGCTCCAGCTGTGTGAGTGGACAAACAGTGAAAGCTGATTTGCCAGAAAGGAGGGATGAATCAAGGGTGGCACATACCCGCTTCCCCAGGAGGAGAGTGCCTGAGCAGTGGTCCTGAGTGTTTTCCTCCGCCTGCTAATCTCCATACTCCCAGCCCAAGCCTAGCTGGGCTTCTGCCTTTGAGTTTGAGAGAGACACCCCTCTCCTCTGGATAGACCGGGTGTGCCACAAATGGCTTTCCCTTAGTTGTAGCCGCAAAGGTCTGTCTAAGCCTAGCCTTGACTGTGTACCTCCTCGTTCCCATCTGCTAATTTCTTTTGGTTCTCTGCGATTTTAACAGAGAAAGGACTGAGCCTTTGCCCTATGGGTGCCACCATGGTGTGGAGCTGAACGTAGTCTGGGAAAAGTGACAGCATATAAAGAAGGGAAGTGGAGCGTAATACTTGAACCTCTGTTTTTCTGTACAGTTTGTCTGACACATGTTGAGTGTTTCTTCCATAACCACACTTCACAGTGGACTAACAGTGGAGTGGTGAGATATGGCGGTCAGCCCCATCTTCATGTTGTGCAGTCTGGTGCGGAGGGCGGAGTCGTGATGGGAGAGAAGCAGGATGGGGACGTGGTCACCCAGGCTTCCACAGAAAGTCCCATTTTGAACCCTCTTCTCTAAAGTTTTTGTTTTGAGTTTGTTTTAGTGCTAGGAATTGAACCCGAAGTCTTGCTGAGCATGTGTTCTACCACAGAGCTATACTCTCAGCCCCATAGAGTGAATTTGGGGTGACTGCCGACTTGTTTCGTAGTTCTTATAAGCCGACTTGCTTCCTAGTTCTTACAAGCTGAGTTTATGGACAAGTGAGAAATCAGAGCATCACCTTATCAAATACCCTTTCAAGACCAAATAGTCTCTTGGTGTATCCCAAGTAGTTGCTGCTACGTAACTGCCGATGAGAGTATCAGTTTACAGTCTGCCCACCTGGGCCCCCGCTTACTTTGAAAACTGGAGAGAGCCCTTCCTCAAGGTACTGAGTTGAGATCTTAGTTGCAACAATAATTGTGATTATTTGTTCCAGGCGTCTCGTAGATAGTATTTCAACCACATTTGTATCACACTACAGAGAAAAAGCATGTGAAGAGCACAGGCATTCCTATTTTCATGGTTGAAGTACTTCAGATTTACCAACCAGGTTTGCCACTCCGGGGGTCAAACAAAAGAGGCGGGGAGGAATCTGAGTGTAAAGCAGGCTGGCAGGCGGTGGAGATTATTCTTACTCTATGTGAACGTTGGGTATCGCGGCTGAGCTTTTATTGCCAACTTCTCCCCTGGGTATGGAGAACAGGTGACTCACTGGCTGCCAAAGATGACTAGGAGGCTGGCGGAAGTGAAAGCGTCAGGCTGGGGCATGTTAGAGAACTGGAAAACCACTGTGGGCTCTGTTGTTGTTGGACTAGGTGGGTGACATTTACTTTGGCTCCTGAGTGTTTGCAAGTTTGCTCCCAAAGCAAAACAGAAGGCACTTTTTCCAAGGTAGTTACAAATGAATAGCCATTCCGAACATAGTGATAAAACGACTGTT